CTAACAGTGAGCCACATCCCCAGCCCTTTTAACTTATTTTTTTAATTTTGATACAGTTTCACTAAGTGGCTGAGGCTGGCCTCCAATGTGTGATCCTCTGTTCTCAGCCTCCCATGTAGCTGGGATGACATGCATTTGCAACCGTGCCCAGTTGAACTTACTTTTTATATTTATTTCATAAAAAAGAGAGATCCTTAACCCCATTATATAGATGAGGAAACAGAGGCACACAGATTAAATGACTTCTAGAAGTCACGCGCCTAGTAGGAAACCAACGGGGATTTGAACTCGGGTCTCTGACTCTAAAACCTTAGCTCTTCCCAACAACATCCTTTCCGGATGGAGAATGGACGATGGGATGAACCAGTGAGGAAAGGACCCTGTGTTTGTCCAAGGTGATGTGTGGGATCTTTCAGGCCCTGAAAGGTGAAGTGGGAGGTTCAAGGTCACGGTGTCCACGGTGAGGCGAGGAGTCCTCTCGGCTCTCTCTCTCGTGGTTCCCACACAAACCTGGCTCCTGAGAGCAGGAGCTGCCCCGTTTTTTTTGGCAACTGTCCCGCCCTTACTCATGCCTGAGATGATGGTAGATTCCGATTTCCATGTTGACTCCTTTCCCACCCTTCAGGGAGCCTGGCGGGGTGCCCAGACCCGGGCCCTGCCCCTCTCCAGGCAAGAAGCTAACAGCCACCAGCTGCCAGTTACCGACGGCTGGTTATTATCTCCTTAGAGCTGAGGGCTCTCCAGATCCTGCTGGGCAAGTAGGTGTTCTTGGAGGCCTCAGGGCTGCTGGGGACCTTGGACCTCCCCACCCAGGGCTTCCTGGGACCATTAAGGATGAGTACTATGGTGTGGGGACAGCTTTGTGGCCTTGTGTGTGGTGTGGGGTGTACCCACCATCAAACCCAGGATGGTCCACCGCTGAGCTACACCCCGTCTTCTTTTATTTTTATTTTGAGACAGAGTCTCACTAAGTTGCTGAGTTGTTGTTGTGTTGCAATCCTCCTGCCTCGGCCTCCTGAGTAGCGGTGACATTAGGACTGAGCCACCTAGCCCCCGAGGTCCTGTTTTCGCCCATCTCCCTAATGGGGAGGTTGGGGAGCTGGCCCCCTAGTCTGCACTGTTTCCTGGGCTCTTCCCTGAGCAGCCCGCCAGGACCCACGTCCGTCCCACCCCTGCTCCTGCCTGGATGGGGGTGGAGGCCAGGGCCTCCTGGGCTCCTGCTAGACTCCCTGAAGGGTGGGCGGGACATGGGTTGGCATGGAAACGAGAGGGTGCTATTAATCTGAGCGTGAGTGAGGGTGAAATTGGTGCCAAAAGTTTCTGCCCAAAGCATCAGAGCGACAAGGAAATTTGTGAGAGAAAGTCTGTGCTGAAAGCCTCAGAGGCAGAGGGGTCTCTGACATAGGTCATCTCCGCTGGGCAGGGGTTCCCTGGTGGCAGGTGACAGAAACCTGACTCGGGGTCATTTAAAGAAAAATAAAAGAACCAGGAATTTGTTGGCTCATAGGACTCAAAAGGGCAGGCCACGGCATGGGGGAGGCACCAGGGCTCATGCCTGCTTCTCTCTGTACGTCACCTTCCATGACAAAGTTCCCCGCTCAATATCCACACCCCACTTCCTCTTTAATAATCGAATCTCTTTATTGTTGAGGAATGGCAATGGGCCCATTTACATTTCATAGAGGAATGGCCAATGACATAGACATGGAAACCTTCGAGTGGGGTTTCTAGAATGTTCTTTCTACCTGGAATGTGGGCTCGAGGACTGGTGGTGAGGCAACCATCTTGGGACTCAGAGACTCATCTTGGGCTAAGAGAATCCCGAAGAACTTAGCGCTGACACTGTGCTAACCCAGGCAATGCCAGCTTCTGGAATTTGTTCCATGTGGAAAGCCACTGTGGTCAAGCCTGCTGCTTGTGGCTAAACTCAGTTTTCCACGGACACACCCTCCCTTTTTGCAATTGTTTTTTTTTTTTTTAACTGTCAGGGAATGTATCTCCAACAGCACTGGACTCGGTTCCTCCGAGCTTTTGACCAGAAAGGAAAAGGAATGTCTCTCCCTGTCTAAATGGAACTCCTAGGGAAGGACTCTGGCCCAGCTTGGACCATGCACCACTCCCTTGGTGGCAATGAGACTGGGAAGCAAGGTCCTCCGATTGGCTAAGCCTGGGACACATGGCCTCCCTGGGGACCCAGCAAATGGGAGTCTGTTGCAGAAGAAGAGAGGAAGGGGATGCTGGTGGTCAGCTGCCACCACTCTGACCACCATGTCAACACTACCCCCAGAGGCTATTGGGACCCGGCTTCTGCCCAGAACAAGGTCCACACATACACCTTGTGGGCTGATGACTATTGAATGATGAAATTCGAGATATCAGGTGCCCACTCCCTGGCCGGGCACATCGACAATGTCCTTCAGAGGAGAGAGGAGGAGCCGCGTGCCCGGGGCTGAGCTATCTGATTGCACATGTAATCCTCCTGGGAAGAAATGTGCAGGTTCTCAGGCAGGCTTCTCGGGAAATCAAATCCTATGTCAATCATTTGATATTTGAATTCAAAATGTTTCTTCTCGGTTGAGCTGTCTAGCCATAAATCAGCTGTGGGCACATTGTGTAGGTCTTTGAATCTGGTGACATTTAAATGGATGATGTTTTTGTTCTAGTCGATCTGGTACAAGTATGCGCTGGAGGTTTTGTTCATCTGACTAAAGGGACAGGTGTGACTTGTCACGCTCATAGATCTTGGTCTCTGTCTACTAAGGGCCTCTTTCTCTCTCTGCGGGAGTCCATCTGTCCATATGGGGACTCCAGTTGCCCTCATCCTCACATTCAGTATTGTCGATTCTTCTACATCCTACCTTCTAATGGATGTGCCCGGGTGTTTTGTTTCCTGGTCACCATGACCCATTCATAAATAATCAATTTAATGGGACAGAACGTTGGGTTTATTTTCTCTCCCTCTTTCTCTTTATTTATTTATTTTTTTGTACCAGGGATTGAACCCAGGGGCACTCGACCACTGAGTCACATCCCCAGCCCTATTTTGTATTTTATTTAGAGACAGGATCTCATTGAGTTGCTTAGTGTCTCACTTTTGCTGAGGCTGGCTTTGAACTTGAGATCCTCCTGTCTCAGCCTCCCAAGCCACTAGGATCCCACAGGCGTGTGCCACCATGCCTGGCTTGGCTACTTTTGTAATAAAACTATTTAAAAATAGATAATTGTAAATTGTCTGTAAATATACTAAAAACCATTGAATGGCACATCTTAAGTACATGAATCATGTGGTACGTGAATTCTATCTCAATAAAGTCTCCCCTCAAAAGCCAATCCTCAAGGAGCTCTGAAATGGTGTTCTAAGGAATTTACTTGGGAAATAAAGATCTAAGTCAGGCCAACTGGGTTCCCCCTGGTGGCCTGGAGGACAAGATTCTCGATTCTCTTCTGGCCCTGGAAGGATTTTTCCTTAATGAATTCAACAAGATTTCCTTCACCAAGAGGACCAGAGTCATGGTAAGTGCCCTGCATGTCGACAGTCTCTTTTGACAGACACAGGGACAGAGCCAGGCCTGGGTAAGTGAGTGGCACATTTTTATCCTTGTTTCCTGTGCACATGGCAGGTCATGAGCACGTGGACGTGCTGAGCTCCTCAGACCTGGGCAGCGAGGACGGGCCCTTTGGTGCCCCTTTCCACCTTGGGGCCCAACAGCAGGGCTGGCCCTCCTGGGTGGTACCCTCTGTCCTGGCCAAGGGAGTCAGTCACAAATAGCACAGTCTGGGACACCAGTTGGGAAGCCAGATGGGAATGTCTGGAGCTTGGGGAGGAGCAGGTACCGCTTTGTTCCCAGCCCTGCTGTCTTTCTGGGTGACCTTGGGTGCCGTGTTTGATCTTTCTGGTCCTCCGCATCATCCCTTGTCCACCTGGTTCCATGTCTACTTTTCCAAAGCGGGTTTCTGCTCTTCTCCCTTCACGAGGCCTCGGGGGGAATTCAGCTGGAGACTGTCCAGGTTGGAAGGGACTTGGGTGCTGGAATCTGTTCTCCACTCTCCCAACCAAGTGACCTGCTCGAAGCCCCCCCAGGGCCAGCAGGCTCACTACCTCCCGTTTCCCAGCTGGGCAGCTGTGGCCGGGGCTATCAGCAAGCCCTTCCTTGTATTGGACTGATTTCCATAAACTCCTCTCCTTGGTCTTAGTTCCTGCTCCCCTTGGGCCTTGTGACTAACCCCTCTGCTATGGGACCCTGCAGACCCATTTCATTTGGCCCTCTGTCTTCCCGAGGAGCCCCGAGGTGACCCCACTCAGGCAGCCTGCACATTCCTTCCTGGTTTGGGGCCATTCCAGCCCCAGGCTCCTGGCCTGGCTCTCACCTCCCTGGCCAGGGCATCTGCCTCTCTCAGGTCTGTCACTGTGTGACATCATGGGCTGCTGCACTGCCTAGCCACCACTTCTACTAGTTGCCTGGGGTACCCTCCCTGGCTTCCATAAAGATCCCTCAGCTCCTACCTGGCCCCAGGAGGCCCCGCTTGCCCCACTGTGGCTGGCGCTCCTGGTTGGGAGGGGTTTGTCCCAGCCTCAGCATCCACATCCAGCACAGGCACAGTGGACAGGGCCCCAGGTCCTTGAGGATGGTGACCAGGCCTGTTCATCTCTGTGTCCACATCTGCTGGTGAACCCCAGATCCACCTACACCCTCTAGGAGTAGAACACCTCAAACCGACCCTCAGGCAGGCTGACCCCCACAAGAGCAGGCAGGACAGAGGGGCATTCCCTGTCTCTCCTGCTAGAAGCCACCTTCTATCCATGCCCACCGGTCTGAGATCCTGGAGAGAGCAATCCCTAGTCACCTGGGAATGCCATCCTCCTTAGGTGGGTAGGTGTACATAGGTGGCACCCTTGTCCACCTGGTTCCATGACCTGATGGCCATGAAGTCCCATCAGATGAAGTCCCCAAGACGCCTAGGCTGTGTGACCTCACCAGGTCCTTCCTCTTGGTCCTCAGGCCCAAGCCTTCATTTTCTTGTCTGTGTGAAGAGAAGCTGGGGTCTGCCACCCCAGGCTCCCTCACCCTGCCTGCATGGCCCTGCTCCACCGAGGGTCCCAGCCCACCACGGTCCCCGGATGTCCCGCACACGCTGCTGCCTGGGTGAGTCACCGAACTGCGGCGTGTTTATTAGGACGGCAGGAGCTCATTTGCCAACTTTGGAGGCACGGGAGCTGGCTAAGTTTAGAACAAGCCATGAGCGAGAGTGAGGACGCTGTGTTCCCTCTCCTTCTGGCAGAACAGGGGCCCTGAGCTATTCTTTTCATCCTTAGCTTCGTTTACCACTCGATCTGCCTTCTCCCAACACAACGCCTCTGTAATTAAGGGGGAACACCCCCAGCCAGGCTAAGGCTGGAAAGCAGCCGATCACTGGGACGTTGTAAGGCATAACAAAGGCTCTGGAAAAAAATAAGATGTAGGTGTGCTTCAGCGGGTGCCCGTGGATGGGATCGTGGGGTGCAGGGGCCTCCTGATGGTTCTTGTATTTTTCTATGGAAAAAGTGGCTGTGGCTTTTATTGGATTCCTGAAAGCGGTTCTCGACTCCTCCCTCAAAGCCGTCCGTCTGAGATGGAGTGGGAGATGTCCACCTTGAACCTGCCTGGCGGGGTCCTCCTGAGCGTTGGGGGTTTTCAGGATTAGTTGTTAGAGCCCTCTTGGGGTTTGCATTGGGAACAGAGACCCAGAACCTGGGTCAGGCTGGGTGTGTTCCCTGCAAAATCAGACACTAACTGGGTTCAACTTAGGTATGGAAGGGCTGAGTGGCGCTCGTCCCTTCTGTCCCCTTTGTTTGGTCCACGCGCAGTGATTTGCTATTTCCCATCCTGGAGGATTTGCCTTCCAGACTTTAAAGCAGGTGCTGCTGCTGCTGCTGTTGGCTGCCTTCAATTAACAGAGCTCCTCCCTGTCCACCACCTTGAGCTCCTAAGTCCTGTAAACTTGAGACGCTTGGTCTTGGCATGAAAATTGGTGAGTGCAGCTGAGGTCTCAGGTCCCTGGTCTGCTGTCACAAGACAAGTGATGTGTTCAGCTGTCAGAGGCCAGCGACTGTAGTGTATCAACAACACCCCCCCCCCCCCCCCCGCGCCGCCCCCCCCCCCCCACAAGGTAAATAGAAAGTTATGTGTATCCTGCCCTCAGCCTCCAGGGTGTGAAATCAGGAGAGGGCAGAGTTCACCTGGCTGGCGTCCCACAGTGGTCAGCAAATTAGTTCCTAAGCTAACAACTCTGCCTTCTGTTGTATAGTCTGGCCATTTAACTGATGGCTGCTGTCTATCTTAAGGGTCATTTGGGTTCCAAAGGCTCAGACTTAAGATTGAGATCAGTTACTTGCAGTGTGATCTCTGGGAAGTCACTAAACCATTCGAAACTTTTTTTTTTTCCAATTTAAAAAATATAGGGAAGATAATAAATCTCTGCTTACACCCCTAGAGAAGGGTTTGGGAGACAAAAGAACCAGATGTTTATTGACTACTGTGTGTCAGGCCTTCTGTTTATAATCATTGTCCTTTTTTAAACTTTACAGTCTCCAAAAGTGTCCCAGAATTGCTGCAAGAGTCCACTGAGAACCACAATTCCACAGCCGTCTATGGAGCACTTTACTCTAGGCAAAGGGGACACAGCGGTGAACAAAACAAAGGTCCCCGTCCTGGTGGAGGTGACATCCTAGTAAGAGAGACAGAAACTAAGCAAGTGAATATGTCCAAAGTCAGGATGGGAGTGGGGATGAGGGCGATGAAGGAAAAGTAAGGTGGAGGTGGGCTGGGGGTGTGGCTCAGTGGTGGAGCACTTGCCTAGCGTGTGCAAGGCCCTGGGATTAGCCCCAGCACTGCTAAATAAATCAGTAGGAAAGAGAGAAGGGAGTGTATCCTGGACAGGGATTTGAAGAGTGCACACTGTTCTGTGATAGGGTCATGTATCGGAAGTGAATCAAGAAAGTGAAGGATACGAGGTACAATGGCACAGACCTGTAAACCCGCTTCTAGGGAGGTTGAGACAGGAGGATCACAAGTTGGAGGCCAGCCTCAGCAACTTAACGAGACCCTGTCTCAAAATAAAAATAATAAAAAAGGCTGGGGATGTAGCTCAGGGGTAGAGCACCCAGGGTTCAGTCCTCAGTATTGAAGGAAAAAAGAAAGAAAGAAAAGAAAGTGAAAGATGAAAGAGCAAGCCAGCCTCTGGGAGAAGAGAACACATCTGGTTTATTTGAGGAATGGTGAGCAGTCTGTGGGGCTGAGGCAGAGGGACCCTGGGAAAAAAAACAATAGGAAGTCAGGGCAAAGTAGAGACGTGGGAACTTAAGGACCATGGATGTATAAATGTATTGCAATCGTTACAATAAATAAAACAAAAAAACCCTAAATGTATTGCAACCAGTGAAGCACTGTGCACGTGGGTGCATATTTCCATTCATCTGTCTTTCAGAATGTGGAGTCTTTTACTTTTTAAAAATGTATATTCTTTTTTTTTTATAGAAGTGTATTTTGCATACAGTAAAACACTACAGATTATAAAAATGCCATCCAGTGAAACCACCACCCAAATCAAGGTCCAGAACACTTTTATTGCCCTAGGACGTTCCCTGTACTCTTTCCAGTTGATGTCCCCTTCCCAGAGGCAAACGTTGTTCTGATTTCTATCACTAAAGATAACTTTCCCTATTGCACTTTGTGTAAATGGAATATAATGTGTTATTTTGTGTGAGTTTCTTTCACTCAACAGCAAACATCAATTTCTTTTTTTTTTTTTTGGTAGGGGGATTGAACCTAGGGGTGCTTAACCACTGAGCAACATCCTCAGGCCTTTTTATTTTTTATTTTGAGAGAGGATCTCATTAAATTGCTGAGGGCCTTGCTAAGTTGCTGAGGTTGGCCTTGAACTTGCGACCCTCCTTGAACTTGCCTCAACCTCCTGGGTCGCTGGGACTACAGGTGTATACCTAGCATCAAACATTTGAAGATTCATCCATGTTGTCACGTATAGCTTTAACACAGTCTTTTTCATTTTTAAAAAATATTTATTTTTTAGTTGTAGTTGGACACAATACCTTTATTTTACTTATTTTTTACTTGGTGCTGAGGATCGAACCCAGGGCCTCGCATGTGCTAGGCCAGCGCTCTACCGCTGAGCCACAACCTCAGCCCCAATCTTTTTCATTTTTGAGTAGCATTTCATCACCCAACACTTGGAATAGTCAATCTTTTAACTTTTAGTTACACTTCATGATAGGAAGTGCAATGCTGTGGTTTTAATTTGCATTTCCCTAGGACTAAAGATATTAAGTTCCTTTTCATCTCTTTATTGGTCACTCACATATCATTTTTGGGAAATGTCTGTTTAAATCTTTGGACCATTTACAATAAGGATTGTTTATCTTTTTGTTTACTATTGTGGGAGCTCTTTCTGTGTTCTGGATATGAGTCCTTTTGACAGATGTATCTCATGAATATTTTCTCCCAATCTCCCAGTAAAAAAGTAAAATGCTGTGCATTTCTACTTGCAAATTGTGTCTTTTGACACAATTTGAACCCAGGGGTGCTTTACCACTGAACTATATATATCCCCAGCCCTTTTTTATTTTTCATTTTTGAGACAGGGTCTTGGTAAGTTGCTTAGGGTCTAAGTTGCTGAGGCTGGTATTAAACTTGCAATCCTCCTGCCTCAGCCTCCTGAGTTGCTGGGATTACAGGTGTGTACCACCACACCTGGCTTGATGTTAAATTTTGATGATAACAAATTCACCCATTTTTTTAATGAGTAATACTTTAGTGTCCTGCCTGAAGAAATCCTTGGCTACCCCAATGTCCAGAGATATTTTCCTATGTTTTTCTTTTAGAAGCTTTGTAATTTTATCTTTTTTACATATAGGTGTGTGATTCATCTTGAATTATTATTTTTTTTGTGTGTGTGTGTGTATATGGTGTGAGGTAGGGTCAAGGTTCACTTTTCCTCCATTCAGACATCTATTTGTAGAAGTCTTTCCAATTGGATCTCACAGAAAAATTCTCCCACAAAAGTTTTATGCTCAACACTCTCTCTCCCAGGACCTTCTCTCTCTCTCTCTATCTGCCTCAGCCTCCCAAGGTGACATGATGAGGCTGTAAGAGACAAACCCCAGACTGAGAAAAGGAATATCAGCAAAACACCAGATGCCCATCTGTCATTTCATGCAGACTTTATCCTTCCTCGTTGTCCAGCCTGCATTTCACTTCCCAGGGTCAGAGCTAAGGAGGGCAACAACAAATGGGAAACAAAGCATGGAGCAGGATGAGTAAAACACAGGAGCAAGGGTTGAGGAAGTCCCCACAGGGCTGACTGAGGGCGGGTTGGAAGCTGGCTGATTCTTTGGGCCCTACGACAGTTTGAATGTTTGTGTGTCCATCCCCAAAATTCATGTTGAAACTCTAATGTCACGGTATCAAGAAGTGGCGCCTTTAGGAGGTGATTGGGCCATGGAATTAGCAACCTTATAAAAGAGATGGAGAGACCTAGCTGGGTGCCTCTTGCCCTTCTGCCTTCTACCATGTGAGGACACAATGTTCACCCTTCTACCACCTGAAGATGCAGAAAGAAGCTCCTCACCAGATCCAAATGCCCATGACTTGATTTAGAATTTCCCGCCTCCAGAACTGTGAGAAAACAAACTTCTGTTCTTTATAAGTTACCCATCTCAGGTATTTTGTTATAGCAGCACAGGCAGACTAAGACAGGCTTTCAGCAGAAATCCTAACTTCTAGCTTCTGACTTTATTTTTTGACTTGTAGAGATTGAAAAAAATTAAGTCTCAGAATTGTGAGATCAGTGGGCTGGTGAGACAACCCCTCCTCCCACAAGGCCAGAATACCCTCGACAGCTGCATTGTGATCAGAATTTACTTATGTTGTCTTATCACTGGATTCACCACACCACCTCAGGAGCACTATACATAGCCTCCTTGATTTCACTGACAAAAATACTGAGTCAGGTGCACATGCCTGTAATCCCAGCAGCATGAGAGGCTGAGGCAGGAGGATCATAAGTTCAAAGCCAGCCTCAGCAACTAAGCAACTAAGCAACTCAGTGAGACCTGTCTCTAAATAAAATATAAAAAAGGGCTGGGGATGTGGCTCAGTGGTTAAGCACCCAAGGGTTCAATCATTGGCACGTGCGCGTGCACACACACAAGAATATTGAGGACCCTGGATGTTGAGTTTGCTTCCCAGGACCTCCCAGTTCCCACACCATGTGTTTGGATTCTCTTTCCCACCCTTTCCTCCTCTGCAGCTCATTTCCCCTGTGGGCCAGCCCCTCTAAACCATGTGCTGCTGAAGCAATCGGATCACTGTACGGTCATAGTCTTCCCTCCTGAGGTCCTTGCAAGCAAGCAAAAAAGATGCATGTGAGCATTCCCATTGCCCATTTTCCAAAAACAACCAAAAATGCCTGTGAAACAAAGAGCTTTTCAGGCGCAACTCAAGAATTTGCTTATATCACATAAAATCCAGTTCAAAGCCACTTCAGCATGTGAGAACATCTGGACATTCCTTCAGACTTCGCTGATGCAACCAGCCCTCGCTGTCCTGGACGGGGGGAGTCCAGGTCCAGGCATTGGCATTTGGTGTCTAGTGAGGGCCTTCTGTCTACATCCTCAGGTGGCAGAAGGGTGAACACCGTGTTCTCACATGGTAGAAGGCAGAAGGGCAAGAGGCACCCAGCTAGGTCCCTTCCATCCCTTTTATAAGGTTGCTAATTCCACGGCCCAATCACCTTCTAAAGGCCCCGCCTCTTAACTCTGCTGCAGTAGGGACTTGAGTCACCCTTGGTGACTAAAGAATCACCAGGCCTTTTGCACAGTGCCATACCTTTGCCATGTAGTGCCTTCTGCCCTTAAAGTCAGCTCCCTCATCCATGTCTTTCTGGCTCCCACAGCTAAGTGCCCTCATCTGTCTTTCCATAGCACCTTTGTCCAAACCTCAGTTTCCAGCATCTCCTGGACTCTATTATTTGTCCTTATGTCCCCATTCCCTGTTAGACATGAGTTCTCGAGACCAGGACCGGTTGCCTTTCACTTCTGTGTCTCTAGTCCCTATCACAGTATCTGTCCAGTTCGTCCTCCCTAACTGCTTAGTATTAAAAGGATGGGTCAAAGAAGGTGCCGGAAGTATGGAGCCAATAGCTGAGTCAGTTTGGAACTTCCTAGAGCCGGAGCTCAAGGAACAGCCCCTAGGTGTTTGTAAGATAGTACCTCAGGCTCCTTGCGAGCCATGTGGTGCCTCAGTTTCCTCACCTGAAGAAAATAAAATAAAAATAGCAACTACTTGGTGGAGACAGTGTAAGGACTGACTGTGTCAGCCCAGGGAAAGCCCTGAGCTCTTTCTGGCATGTTTCATACACAATGAATTTTTATAACCGTTGTAATCACTGTCGCTATCAAAATCTATAACGATGGTATCTTGCTTTCATGTCAAGGCCACAAGGTGCTAGGCCGCAGCCCAACTGGCCAACCACAGAGGATGCTCATCCCTGGTACCTTGTTCTCCAGCCAACCTAGAGAGGCACCTGGGCCAGGCAAGGCAGAGGGGAAGGCGAGAGGGACACGAGGGGCTGGCGGCTAATGCGGAGAGTTGCCGAGTGGCCTGGGTGGACTGATACTGTCTCACCTGAATGGGGGGAATGGGGAGACCTATGGATAGGACATTCAAGGGCCCACAGGGTGGTGCAATGGCCTCAGAGCTGGACATTGGCCAGCCACAGGTCAGCATTCCTTAATCTTTCTTCAGTCCCAGGACTAATTGGTGACTTTTAGTGTTTCAGTACTCTACATAACCCTGAGACCAAGGTCTGTGAATATAGAACTCCCCTTACTCCTCGTTGGGATTATTTCCCTAATTTTTTTTTCTCTTCTGCAGTACTGAGGATTGAACCAGGGCCTCATGCTTGATAGGTTGAGGTACAGCCCCAGCCCTGGGGTTGTTAAAGTAGATTACTTAGAAGTAGAATCAGGGCTGGGGATACAGCTCAGTTGGTAGAGTGCTGGTCTTGCAT